CGCGGTCCCCGGGCGGGCGCGCGTGGGCGTGTCCCCTCCGGCCACGCGCGGCGGCTTCACCCTCTCGGCTCTGCTCCAGGATGCTGGTGGCTGAAACGGAGCCATGGAGGTTCGTGCCACCGAGACTCGGAGTCTGTCACGCCGACGTCCTCGTTACATCATCCTGCCGCTCCGGGCCGCTGGGCTCTGCCCCCTCCCCTCTCCCCCACCCCTTTGCTTGGACTGTCTTCCTTTGGGTGTCGGGGAGTGGAGAGACCCCTGCGAGATATCGAAGCATGTAGCATTTACGGCTGTGTTGCTGTGGTTGTCACCTCCGCTCTGCGTCAAACTTAAGACTCATTTCTTAAGGATGTCTCTATTTCCTGCTTTATTTGCACATTGATGGCTCTGCTGCTCGGCTGGCCACGGCCGCCGGGCGTCTGAGATAGACTTGTGTGAATACGTGCAAGGGAAGGGCTGATCATTAGCAGGCAGCCGGCATTCAGATAGCATCTGGCGGGCTGTCTCCGTTTTCACGTTTCTGCTGGTAAACACGAGGTTTTAACTTTTTGTCTTGGTAGTGGTGACGATATGTTGCCCTCTTCCCCCCTTTTTACCCCCTTTATTCATCAGCTTTCCCGTGTGGGAACCTGCTTACTTGTGAGCAGTAGTTTCACAGGGCTCTTTGCACCGAAGCTGCTGTCTCCCCCAGCAGAGGTGCGAGCTCTCTTCTCTCTTCTTCCAGGTTACCAAGATGATTCGTTTTTTTTGTTGTTGTTTTTCTGTTTTTTGGTTTTTGTTTTTTTTTTTTTTGGCTTACTATTGCATTTGTATCTTTGTGAACATTTTGACTTAGACTAGCAATACGTATGCCCTGGTTGTTTTCAACGTAGGACTCTAAACAATCCCCATTTTAAAACTTGCTAAGGGTTTATTGGTTTGTCATGTCTGCACGGATCCAGTTATGCACAACTCTTAAAATTTAAAGCTTTTCAAATAAGATCCATAATTGTATTGCCAAGACATGGCAGTAGAGCTTGCTCTTCGAGTTTTGGCTGTACGGTTGTCATTGTTTAAATCGAGTGCAAAAGAGGTTATTCCTGTTTATTTAGTGTAATAACTGTTTACAGTTAAAACTTTAAAGACTCATAAAAGTAGGTCTGCTGTATTTTAAAGATCTCATCATTCTTGTGGGAGAGACACAACACCACACTAGGAAAGGCAACAGATTGCTTCTGTCATATCGCTTTGCTGTTTTGGAGTGTACTTAAAGGATTATGATTGATAAGGCTGTCTTGCCAGAGAATGTTGACACAGGTGTGCATCGTTATCTTAATTAAGATCCTGAGAAAATGTTGTCTATAAAATGGTGACATAAGAAGGGCGGCATATTTTTGTACAGTTTTGCTTTTGGAGAATTTAATTACACTTGAAACCTGTCTTTGAGCTTCCAGATTTTGTAAGCACTTTGGCAACGGGAGTTTTAGAGAGAAATGATAGTTTAATGTTAAGTGTTCTGGCATGTACTATACTACTTGTGGCTTTTTGACAATGCCTTTGTCGGCTTTCTTTGTGCTCTATCTTTGTGGAATAATGGTTACTAATTTAGAAAGAAAAGCAGAAATAGAGCAGTATATTATTAAGCAAACGTTTGTTAGTGTTCAAAATAAATCTAAGAGGAAGGCATGCTTAATGTGCAGAAACAGGGATATAATAAAAAGGTAAATATATGAGAAATTTATGGCACTTCGTTTTTTTGGAAAACAGTCTCCTGGAATGTTTTAATGATCTAAAACAATTTCTTTTTTCATACCGTCAAGTACTTAGCTACCTTGTTTATGGAATGCCTTGTTTTTATTTCCAGCAATGGAAGAAAACTCTTTTATTTCTTCCAAAATATTGTTCCATAAATTTGAATTGACGAGCCAGTGAAGATAGTGCATTTAGCCCCTTTTTTAGTATGAGGATCTGAATCATAACCTGGGTGACCACTAAAATAATATTACTGTCCATTACTTCAAATCTCTGAATGCAAAAACAATAGCAAGACGGATGCGGTTGGTTATATTACCCTTGGCTTACCCAGGACCTAATACCCTTTAACATAAGTATTGCATTAAGATTTCCCCCCTCTCTTTGTAGCTCGTGGTTTCCTGGAAGCTGGCTGTCCATCAGTGTGTATGTAAGATGTGTGAATGTTTTTCTTTAATATTAAAACTCATTGTGGAAGGAGGAAATGGAAAGTGGAGGAGGCCATAGGCATATGATCAGAGAAGCCAGGTGTAGAGGCACAGTTCAGTCGTGACTCCAAGGATAATTAGCTGGCTAGAATTACAGGGCAAACTAAAATCAAAGAACGACTTATTTAAATTTGTTTGCTGGAACTAAAACACG